GAAAACAGAAAAACTGCTCTATATATTCATCTGAAGATATTGATCATTTTGTTATTTTGGTATCCATGTTGTTTGGGGTTTGGGTCAGTCTACGTCTTCTGCTGTGACTGCCTCAACTACAGATATGGCGCCGCACAGCACCATCTGCCAGACTGGCGGTGCACAGGTAGCCCATTTTTCCCTCACTGTTTTAGGTATAAATCTTTTTTTTTCTTTTTTTTTAAACGATAGGAACTGAAAAATGTTTTATCAGGAAGTCGAAAATCACAATATATCGCTAAATCGATTTTTCCAACACCCCTATCACCCAGTGCATTAAACAACACAATCTTTTCAAGATGGTTGAAAATGAAGAATGCTCTCCACATCATCATCCGCCATGGATGTTGTTTCTCTTGCTGCTTCTGCAAAGCTAGACATTAAATAGGGACCTTTGTTGATTATTAATGACATTCAGGTTGGATGATTGCGACCTGGTCCTTCACACCCAGGTCGACCATTTGAAAAGATCTGATTTTTATTGGATTCAGGACCACAGAGCCTAATGGCCTGGGTCACAGTGGAAAATATTGGTTCTATGTTGTTTAGATTGTCATGGAAAGATCAGATACAGGTCACATATGGGCAAAAAATATTGGATTTGGGTCACTTCAGGCTGCTGTGTAAAAGTAGCCCAAAATTGCGGTTGTGGTCTGTTTTTCACTATGGTGCAGCAGTCTATCTCTGTAGCTGGCCTCCTGATGAGCTTATCTCATCTCTTCCTCTCAGCAATAAATAAGCTGCCTGCTTTAAGCCATCTCAAAATATGTCAGTCTCCTCATTAGGTAGAGTCTGCTCTGACCCTTCCTAAAAAGAGCTTCCAATCCAGGCTACTGTTTGTTCAAAACCTATTCTACACTGACTGCAGTTTATAAAAAGCATCGCGTGACGTCATACATTCGGGATATCACACTTGACAACCACACAACGCCAGTAACGAAGGCGTAAACAACATTTTTGCCTAAAACAATGAGGGAAAAAGGGCTATCTTTGCAATGCCACTCCAGATAATAGAGCTGTGGAGCTTATTTGCTGTGTGGCGCAGCACTCTATCTGTAGTTGAGGTAGTTGGGAAAATATTGGAATATATAGTGATATTGCAATATCTTGACTATCATATCGTGACCCAAGTATCGTGACACGTGTTGTATTGCAACACTCAGAGCCGGCCCGAGCCTCTTGGGGGCCCTAAGCAGAATTTGATTTGGTGGCCCCCCCTTCCACCCTGCAGAATCACATATACTAGAACATTACTGACACAAATGTCACACTATAATGTTATAGTGAATATTATAAATGAATACACTATGGTAATGTATTAATACAAAATAAATAAATAAACAATACTTACATTACTTTTTTTTAATTAAACCTTTTGAATACAAACATGTTAAACAAATTATTTGCAAAAGTTCATTAAATGTGCAATATTTTAAATAAAACCAAAAAAGACAAACATAAATAATATAATCAAAAATAGAATGTTACAAAAACAGATACTTAAATAAAGAACGCAAATATAAGAACAGCTTGGGTTCAACAATGAATTGTACAACGTTGCCTCAAAGTCGTTCCTTCCTAGCTTTTCTTGAGGCAAAGTCACCGATGACATCATTGTACGGTATTGCTTGGCCAACTTTGTTATTTATACTAATGACTGCAAGTCCACTTAGTCTTTCTGGGCCATTGATGATCCCAAGTAGGATTTTATTAATTTGAGCTTGGAAAAGCTCCTCTCTGCTGAGGTAACTGTTACAGGCAGAGTGCGGGCTATCCTGAGAGCTACCCAAAGATTTGGGTAAAGCTCAAACATCTCATTTTGTGAGAGAAATGTGAGAAGCTCAAAGGCAGT